AACAACGCGCGGTTTTTTTGACTTAACCCTTAACTTCCCAATTTTTTAAATTTCTATGGAAAAATTATATCAGCTAGTTCTCAATTAGTAATAAAAGTGAAATATATATATAAAAAAATTAAGCTGTTTTAAATTGAATCGTAGTCATTTTTTTGTTTGTTGCAGAAGTGCAACATTGCGCAGTAGTGCTGTAAATTACAAAACTTTTTTTTTATATGAGGTATTTATTATTCATCATAAAATGTTTAAAATTCTTACCTGATAATTTATTTCGTCCATAAACAAGAGGAAGCATAAAATATAATGGATTCTTTTTGGAGCAAAAACACAGTTCTTGAGGCATCAGAGATTTTTATAATTGGTGTGATTTCTGGAAAAAATGTACTTCCATCTATAGTGACAAAATTAGCATGTATTTCGTTGCAGTAATCTTATTTTCTCAGATAAGTTATTTTTAGGTAATTAAAAAATATTGAATCTGTTAAATTAAAATAAATCATATTTTGCATAAATGCAACAGTGAGAAGTTAAGGGTTAATAGCTACCATATTAAGCAAAACTCTGTCGAAATATTTACATATTGATCTTCCCCTTTTTATTCACAATTCCTACTATTAGTTCACACTCTCCCTGTATATATTTATTTATATACATATCTTGTGTTCAAATTTTCAATCGTTAACAAAATACTTTTTATTCATCCATTCAAGTTCAAATACATTTTTTCAAACATGTAGTGGATGACACTGGATGTTAATACAGTTTTTTCAAATATTAATTCATTAATTCTATTTAATTAATGAGTAAATAGTAACAAACAAAAATAATAGTCCAACACCCTATATAAAAAGGAAAATCGTTCGTTGTGTCCCTGTAAGGCAATGGATAGCGCTTTGGATTTCTCATTCAAAGGTCGTGGGTTCGAATCCCACCTGGGATGGTCTAATTTCTGGAGAATGTGATTTCTTTTTACTATACTATTTTATTGGAATAATTAAATTTAATAAATGAATAAATAATAAACAAAAATAGTAGACCAAACAATATAGAAAGGAAAATGGAAAATTGTAAGGAAAATCACTTTCTATTTTGCCACCTAATAGTGTGATTATATCATATGCATATACATATTTATATTAATTGTAATTATTTAATAAAAAGTAACTAAAAGAAATTTTTTCTTTGTTGACCAAGTGGGAATTGACTTAATTTTTTTTTTTTACATTACTTGTTTTAAATCATGATAAATTAATTTCTCCAGCCAGTTTTCTCATAATATTTAATGATAAATATTTTTTAGTGCGAGGCTGGATATAAAGAAAACTGTTCACTTTTCTTCACAATTTGACCTATGTATGAGTTACGTATGCTGAAAAATCTCAGTGTAGCGATGAAAGGTTTTATAGAATTGTTGGTGGTGGACGGTGCCATTTTTTTTTTTTTTTTTTTTGCTTTGTTTTCCACGCGCCAACGCAGATTTTCCCAATGGAGACAGATCCCAATTTTGTTACCCGAAACCGTAATTACTCAAACACCCAATCCCCAACACGTTAACAGACAAGTAACAGAGTTCGCATCAGAAGCTGTTTGCGGTTACGAGTTCAAGAGACGAAATTCCAACTAATTTAGAATGTTTGCTCGTTTTAGTTTTCGCCATCACTTTCCATCTTTCCTTGGGTTAATAGGGTTATTTATTTGTTCTTATATTCGCATTTTTCGA